CTTACTCCACTCCTGGTTCTTCTCTCTTGATGGCAGTGAGATATCCCCCTTCTGCCTCTGGGATGGCTTATTTTAAGCCCAGTGGGATGACAAAATGATCAATCCCCATGTTAGTGTTCCATACGTCTTATTTGCATGGTCCCACCCCCACAAGGGTGCCACACACCTAATTTACACTATTTGTAGTATATACAATTCCCTTAGGGTCACTCACATTTACACAGTTCCATCCAGTCATCTAGTGGGAGTCACAAAGACCATGGCTAGATGCGCCATTTAAGTAACTCAGTGCACCACACCCCTTCTCTGTTATTTTACCTCTTTCTTTCCTGCCCTCACTCGTGTTGATTAATAATATGTGGGTAGATAACATTCATCAAGTGTCACAGATAGCTAGGAATATGCACCAAAGAAAACATATCACTCTATTGATTAGACGGAGCTCTGGTAGCATAGTCCCTAAGGTACTTGACTGCTAACCAGAAGGCTGGTGGTTCAAACCCACCAGGCACTCCTCGGAAGGAAGGCTGGGCAAACTACTTCCATAGTGATACTGCCTCAGAAATCCAAGGAGGGGTCACTATCAGTCGGGTCTGACTCCAGGGCACATAACAACAACAACATTGACTAAACAGGTTTAGCAAATCAAAATTATCTCCTTTTCAGCTGTGATTACCTTTGGAATTCTAGTTTATGTCCTTATAGGATTCTAGAACTGAAAGATGTTCTATTGCTGGGTCCACATGCAGGCATTACAAAATAACATACAGCTTAGATGATAAACAACAAGATGGGCCCAGAGGATGAATTGTTATATCAATGAGCCAAAGATGGCTTCTGTATATTGGTCCCAAAGTTAATTCTTCATAGCAAACTGAGGCCCATAAGTCCCCAAATTAAAGAGCACATTGGCACTAGACTCAAATTTGTACACATCCAATTGTTTTTAAAATACCTCAAATAAGCAGTGTTTTAGCCATTTAGAGCCTGCCTGCTTTTCATACCCCAGGGAACTGCACCCAACATCTAGGTGCAGGTATGCTCGCCCCAGATATGATAAAAGTCTGTAATTATAGGGACCCTAAAGAGCTGCTTCTCTGACCCCAAACTCCTCATCTGTTGTCCTCCCCTGCTTCCTGCCCTGGTCCACTCTCATCCCTGAGTTTCTAGGCCCCCTTTCCCTTCTGGTGGCTCCTTGCCTCTGGAAGACTTCCTGCTGTGGGGACAAGGCCCTGCATGCTGCTGTCCATTTGTTAGCTCCAATAAATCTTTCTCCCATGGAGCAGTTGGTGGGTTTGAACTACTGACTTTTTGGTTAGTAGCCAAATGCCTTAACCATTAGGCAACCAGAGCTGTACCAGTAGTTAAATTACTGAAATAATTCTGTCGAAATACAGCTTCTGGCCCCTGCTGCTCCTCCCCCTGGGCTCCAGACACTCTGACTCAACTCATGGGACCACTCACCGCTGTAAGGCAACAACCTTCCAGGACATTCCTCCAGCACTATGGCCAGTATCCAGGCAGTACCAGTTGTGAAATATTTGAATATGGTCCCTGGATGTGTCCCTTCCTTTTAAGAATACCCAGAAGTCACAAAAGGAGCACTTGTTTGATCTGATTGGCCAGAACATATTCTTATGGTCACACCTACCTCCAAGGGACGTTGGGAAATGTAGTCTTTACTCTGGGTGGCCAAGAACCCAGCTGGAAATAGGGCTAATATGGAAGGAAAGAGAAGAAAAGAACATTGAGAGACAATAACCAACTCTGCTACAGCAATGGCTAAATAATTGCTGAGCAACATGGAGGGCTGAGCTTAGTGAGTCTTGGCTGGGACCCGTGATTTCTCAGCAGCTCAGGGGAGGTAGGGGTAGAAGAGAAAAAATCAGAGGGCTGGTATGCATAAGGCTGGGGATTGGTGGGTGGGGTGACCCAAGTCTGAAGGGGAGAGGGGTCCTTGGGAAGGTCTGAGATTGACTTGATTTCTGTCTAAGGGGCCCAGAGAGGGAGTCTGAGCAGATAGAAGAGTATAGTGTCTGAGACATAACATTGGGGCCATTTCAGGGCAAGAGGAGGTGCCAGGTATGGGAGCTGGGAGCCAGAGCAGAGCTTTGGGGCCTAGCAGGAAGTGAGGGCCAGGCTGGGCCTTCCTAGTGGAAGGCACAATTACCTCAGGGCTCTTTTGATTATAGAAACAGGAACTGACGGAAGCCCTCTGGGGTTATAAGGAAATTTACTAAAATTCTCTGGCAGGAGGAGGTATTAAGAGATACCATGGACTAAAAGTAGAGCTTCCTTTGGAACTGGGACCCAGAACTAAAAAGCTGTCAGGCGCCCCACCAGGGTCTCCAAGGTGGCTCCTATTTCTGAGGAAAAAATATCTTTTCGGTTCCTTGAAAACTTGAGCCCACAGTAGGGTGAGGTGGAGGGGATTTTTTTTTTTTCCTCTTAAAAAATTTCCTTAAAGTAAAAGAAAAAAAAATTTCCTCTGAAAATTTCAAGGTGACATATGATGGACATTTTGATGAGTAAAATAATACAGGGATGAGTTAAACTGAAGTCACTACTCGCCCTATCTCAAATCCCTGTTCTTCTCTTCATTGAAAGTCCTTCCACTTCTAAGACAGGCCTGGCCAGAAGGGCCAGTTCTCCTAGGACATCCATCTCCTCCACAGGAGTTCCTTGAAGTCCCCTCACCCACTCTGCAGTCCCCTTTGGGAAGTCAGTGAACTCGAAGACAGGGCATTGAACCTTTTGCTTTGCTGATGTATCTTGGAACCCACTTCCCTCTCAGGCCAGTTTCACACTGGTATTTGCTGCGTAGGCCTCATGCTTCAAAGCTGTGTTGGGGACCATTGTTTGTCCAGCCTTCTGCTTAGTCATTCCATTTCTTCAGCATTTGGGATCTTTCCAGTTTCCATTATGATAAATGGCCTTCTGTGAACACTTTGGATAAAATATTTCTTAGCTTCTGGATTATTTCCCTGGGGAATATATAGCCAAGAGTGATATTATAGGGTCATAGCTTTTGTCACCTAAGCACAGATGGCTAAGAAGGTATTTTAAGAGGATTTAAGCATCCATTGACTTGGCAAAAATTCTAATAATCTTATAGCTTTTATATTCTTTATTAAGGGAGCTCTGGTAGCGCAGTGCCTAAGGCATTTGATTGCTAACCAGAGGCTGGTTTGTACCCACCAGCCACTCCTCAGGAGGAAGTTTGGGCAATAAACTTCCGTAGAGATACTGTCTCAGAAACCTAAGAAGGGGTCGCTATGAGTGGAATCCGATTCGATGGCAGCAAGTTTTTTTTTTTTTTTTTAATTCTTTATTAAAATTCTATCCTTTTAGGATTCAGATGAACTAATATATTGTTGTGTTACAGGTGAGGAAATTAAGGAATCAAAGTTCATCTCATAAACATTGACACATTCCTCTGGTGATGAGAGAGGAGGTATTGTAAGAGACTCCTGGTCAGTTCAGGCTCTGCCATTAATTAGCTTTGAGAACTCAGTAACTCTAGGATACTGTTTTCTGGGTACGATCTGAAGGTCTGTAAGCTTCTTTTTGGCTTGAAATTTTCTAAACTTTGTGTAGAATGTAAGACTCTGCTTTCTCTGTTGGCAAGACGCTGGGGAGGAAGGCTTGCCCCACAGCTCTCCCTGAATTTAACTGGGTGTTGGGGTGGTCTGCCCCATGCTTGTGCCTTGGGAAGCTTGCAGACGGGACAGGTGTATTGTCTCCATCTGGTGGGGGGGGGAGAGGGGGAACACATGAAGCCTCTGGTTTAGACCAAATCTTGTTCCTTTCCCAGCCCACAACTGACCTAGGGACTCCCCCATTGTGGTACACACTTCCCCATACAGTCCCCAGGGAGAAGTAAGAGCCACAGTGTGGGGGTGGTGACAGGGTTGAAACACCAAAAGCTCTTTGTCCTCTCCGTCTGTGGGCTATTCCTAAGAGAGAGGACTGCAGATTGTACACGGTGGGAAAGACCTGGATTTGCCCCTCCTGGGTCAGGAGATCTAATTCCAGGCCAGGTTCTGTCCTGATCTATTGTGTGACCTTGGAGAAATGCCATTGCCTCTGAAAGCCTCAGTCTTCCCATTGGTACAATGATGGAATGGGACTAGATGATGTCTAAGGGCCTGCCCTAATGGGGCTGATTCTCTTCCTTTGGTTTTGGGAGGGGCCGGTGTGGTGGAGAATTCTTCCTCTCTTCCCTGCCACTCTTGGACGGGCACAAAGCACACCCTGATCCCAGTATCAGCCAGGGCTGGGTAGGGTTGGGCGGCTTCCTTCTCCATAGAGTCCCTTGGGGATTTTTACCCAGGTTCTCAAATTCAGCCTTCTCTTCTTACCTCCCTTCTCCAAAGGCTGAGTCACTTCCTATTCTCTCCCCATTTTACTCCTCAGTCCCTTTTCCCTACTCTCTCCAACTCCACAGAATGGTTAAGCAAACCGCAATAGAATCTTGGGAGAGATTGTATATAACATTGAAAAGTCCTCCCTGTAGATCAAGGGATGTGATTATGTATAGGAAAGTTAAGAGGGAAAAACAATGCACAGAATGTGGCTACACGCTGACTTCAGCCAGCTAAGGACCATAAACACAATTGGGGAGACAGTGTGGGGTCAAGTGGTGAGTTTCAATTCTGACTGTGAGAGCTTGGATAAATCATTAATCCTTTGTAGTCTTTATTTCCATCTGTTAAATGATACTAATAGAAAATGGCACATTATAAAAAAAAAGGTGAAGCTTAAAAGACATTTTACATATATAATCCCCGACATTTATTGAAGTCTTTTTTACGACCTCTCTTCTGTCTGTCCTCCCTAGCTCCGCCCCTCTCCTCCCCTCCCCTTTCTCACCCACCTGCCACACCTCTCTACACGCAGGCGCGCTGAGCGATGCTGAGTCAGTCTGCAGGAGGAGCCGTGGCAGGCCAGGCCCTTTCGGAGTTTGAGCCTGCGCAGTGAGCGGCTTTGGGACGGGCCGGTTTATATCGGCGGTGGATCAGCTGATCTTCTGCATTGCAGACTGCGGATTCAGACAGCACGATGTATGCTCTCTTGGTCCTGGCCAGCCTTTTGGGCGTGGGTAAGCCCTGGGACCCCCAGTTTGGGTAAGGAGGATGGGGTGCCCGGTCTTGGAGTGGACTGTGCCGGGCCTCGCCCTTCAGTCTGTTGTCCCTGAGGAGCTTCGCGAGGGGCGCGCACTGCGCAGGCGCAAGCGCCAGGCGGGTACCTGGTGGGGAGATTGAGAAGGCTGCGGGAGCTTGTTGGTAATCGGGCTGCCAAGGCTCACCGGCCCGCGGGTCCTAGCCTGAGTAGGCGGGTAGGCGGGCGCGGGTGAGGCCGGGGAAGTGGCATCTCTCAGAGTGGTGCCTGCGTTAGTGGGGCCGCCCAGAGCCTTCCCCCAGGCTGCCTTTGCTGCTATTAAGGGTGGGTATTGTAGGATGACTTGTCCTGCGAGTTTGTTGTACCTGCTGGATGCACTGGAACCTGGGCTTTTTCACCCATAATATTTACTTCAGCTCCATATAGCAGGAAGGGCCGTTGGCTCTTGGCCTGCTGCCCTAGTTTATAAGGGTATTGAAGTTGCAGGAAGCACGTATGTCCATCATCTCTGTTGATGTTTGTCTTTACGTGTGTATCTATTTTTAATCCTACATCTTGGAGTTTTGTAGTCCTGATTATTTTGCAGTGGAGGCCCCATTTATCTCCTTTAAAATGTCTTGAGCAGCCATTGTATTCTGGAAAATAAAAGTACCTGAGAACTTGACGTGCATAGAAAGTAATCTTAAGCCTATCACTGTCCTGAAATAGTGCTGATGATTGTGAAACCCATTGCATGTTAAAAAGGCAGCCTTTGGGAACCAGCTGCAATACCCTCCTCTCATCTCCTTTTGACTTATTTTTTAATGTCACTATGACCTTTCATTTGTCCAGCCCTTGCCCTCCTTACATCTTCCTCCTCTGAATAATCACAGGTAATGTGAAAGCAGGGAGGTTGAGTGATTATAGAAATTCCGTAGTTTGATAGTCATGGAGCTAGATTTTTAATTTCTATTCGGAGAGGACTCCAAGTAGGAGTCTTTTCAGATCATTGTCTTTGGGTCTTGATCTGTATATATCCCACTTAAGAGAAATAGAATCTCTCTTTGGCTTCCTGAACCTCAATTTTTCAGTACCAAATTTCTGTTTCCTAGCTAACTATGTAAGGAACTCTGGTAGCATAGTGCCTAAGGCACTTGACTGCTAACCAGAAGGCTGGCGGTTCAAACCCACCAGCCACTCCTCAGAAGGAAGGTTGGGCAATCCTACTTCCGTAGTGATACTGCCTCGGAAACCCAAGGAGGGGTCACTATGAGTCGGGGGCCAACTCGAAGGCAAACAACAACAGTTAACTATGTAGCTTAGGGACTAACTTCTATCTGTCATGCAGCCACCTAGATTTTAATAAACAGTAACAAAGTGGATGACAGTTGATGGAAAACCTAAGATAATTGGTTATGGAACTAAATAGATCTAAGAGATGTTTTCCCCTGTTAGTGTTCAGTAACCCTCAAGAATGTCTTGACCTTCTCAAACTGAGCTGTTAAACTGGTTTTGCTTGTGAATTATGAAAGGGTACTCTGCTTATAAAGAAAGATGACTTTGGGTTTTGTAGAACTGAAGAAAATGAATTTTTGCCAAAGGTTGCTACTGCTTGTTATTCTGTGGTCTGTACAGTAATGTGTCTCTGAATATTCTGTACTGCTGATTCAGAACACTTTTTTTTTTTTTTTTTTAAACAATATCACATGGTTGTTCATGTTGGCAGTGAATCACTCCTCACAAGACCTATAGAATTCTGAATCACTCAAAAAAGGACTAAGTTGTTTCCTTGGAAATATACAGTCCACATCTGATAACCCATGGGAGCATTGCTAACCAGAGTGTTTTCGTTAACTAAGAGACATCTTGCCTGAACGCCTGAGTAAATGGAAGTCTGTTATAATGGCCTTGGTCTGACCTTGTCACCTGGCCTTTAGGATTACTCCAAGGTCATGTTGACTACAGTGTATAAATGCTCCTACCCTGGTGGTTTTGGCCCCATTGTGGCTTTTTGGAAGCATTCGCTCTACAGTTTCTAATGGCATCATCTGTTGTTAACGAAGGTGCACGGGTGGTGTCTGCAGTCAGTGTCTGCTCCTGGGAGGCTCTAAGAACTTACCAGGTCAATTTAGCTTTCTTCTAGTATTGGGAGTGCCATCCCGAATCTGCGGGGGCTTTGCTGTTTAATGTTGTGGATGTCCTGGTGGTTGATAGACTTGCTTTTGAGTTGCAGGTAGTCCCCAACGTTGTAAGTCAAATCCTTTTCTTATTTTTCCAGTTTTCATTATTACTGTCTTACCAGTATATTTGTAATTCCTAACATTGAATATATGCGTGTGAGCATCTGAGAATGATAACATCAGCAAATTATGTACTGCAGTATTGTATGTAATGATAAGACGTACAAACAAAACAAAAACAGATGGTGGTTATGTGCAGTTCATCATAATGTGGGGACTACCTGTATTTTTCTACTCATGCATTCATTCATTCATTCCCTTTTCTCCACCTGAAGAAGGGGATAAAATTATGGTATAATGAAGTTTAAAGAACATCTAATCCTCCTTCTTTGAAGGATGAAGACACTGAGTCCCCCAGAAGTGATCCTCCCAGATCCCTGTCTATCTAGTGGGGAAACCAAACCCTGACTTCCCACATTCCTCTAACCTCTTAATTTTTTAAGAGACATAGTGAACTGTAATTTACATACAGAAAGCCTTGCAAATAAAATACTACTTTTACTGCCAAAAAAAGAAAACCATGCAGATTTTAAATGTATGATTTAATGAATTACCACAGAGTGATACCCCATGTACCCAGCCCCCAAGGTCACAGAGTAGAGTTGCCAGCACCCAGAAGCCCTCTTTATGCCTCCCCGTTTACTACTTTGTTTCATTTGCCCCAAAGGAAACTACTTTCTAACACTGTCGATTACTTCTGCTGTTTTTGAACTCCATAGAAATGGAATGGGTGGTTCCTCTGGGGATGAGTTAATGTGTGTAAAGCATGTGGCATGGTGCTCACGCATGTGGCGTGGTGCTCACGGACGCTTCGCTGCCCTTAACTGCTGTTATTTGTGAAGTTGCTAACCAACCGGATTGTATTTGCCCTGCACTGAGCCAGGTAGGTTCTCTAGAGAGAGCTAGAATGTATTATGTACAAAAACATTGTTGTCCCCCCCCCAATTGGAAACACGTATTTATGGCCTAGCTGGCTTAATAGCAGCAGGTCTCACCTGCCTGGAATTTTGGATAAATTGCTGTTTACCATTAATAAACCAAATTTTATTCTGTGAAAATATGAGTATAATTCCTGAAGGGTTTATTGTATCAGCCAGTCAGTCAGTAATTTGCCAAGTGCTTTTAATTGGATTTAACAAGTTGCATGGAATACTGGCTATGGGAGTTGGATTGAGAGATATTTCCCTATCAGGAGAAGGAAGGAGAACTTGTTCCTCTGTAGTCTTTGATTGTAAAACTGGAAGGGCCAGGCAGCTGGCTGGAGCTTGCAGGGGGTGGTAAAGAGGAAGGGTGTTGCTAAGTGGGGAAATCACCTAGTGAATGAGGTTTGGGGAAGCTCTGAAGGCCCAGGCCAGGTGCGCAGCGGTGTTTTGAAGCAGTCTTCTAGCACGGGCATTGTAGGCTCCAAAGCCTGCTGCCTGGAGCCTGTTTTGTTCTGCCACCAGGAAGGAGGGGCTGGAGTTTCTTTATATTACAAGAATAGAATACTAATAGCATGGTCCTGCTTGCACTCCTTTTTTTTTTTCTTTTTTTTTAACAATAACAATAAACAAATAGAGTTATTGGGGTGTTGAAAAAGTATTGATTGCTTTATTTTTTATTCCTTGAAGATCCAAAAAATAATTTGAATTATGGCCTTGGACAGGTATGGCCAACACTGAAAAAAAAAATCTACCCAAATTCCATATTTTCTTGTGGAATTTGTAATCCTTTATATTGGGATTGAGATGAATGGAAGTTTAACTTTATCCCATCTCCGACACTAGTTGTTTGACCTTGCACAGGTTACTTAAACTCTTGTCTCTGTTTCCTCATCTTTAATATGGGATTAATAATCCTTCCTATCTCATGTTGTTGGGAGATTTTAATAAATAAGTTAATATGTGAAAGGGCTTGGGTAGAAAGCACTGTAAGTGTTTTACTCCTATACCACTAAAATACTTTGTCAGTATTCTTGACCAGCTAGCCCAGTGACCCTTTTCTGCCCTTGATTTTGTGATTTTTCCTGCTCATCTTTCATCTCAAAGAATGTTGTAAGTTTAACAAACAAATTAAATTGACTAACCATAAATATATATGCTGGACATGATTACTGGGTCAGGAAAACAAGCTAGGTTAGGTAGATGACAGCTTGGAGGCAGCTGGAGGTTTATGCTCCTGGGAGCCACGCTAGGTTTAGGGACTAGGTCAGTAGTCCTGATGGCAGAGCAGCCCAGCAGATAGGGCTGGTTCCTGGTAACCTGAATACTTGGTCCCCAGGGTATCACTAACCGTGGGACCTGGCCTGTCTGTTCAAGCCATACAGTCTGGTTTCCCCATCCACAGACTTGAGATGAACTATTCAGTGTTCATAGTATCTTCATGTGGTAAACAAATTCAATCACCATAAATACCGTAGAACAAAAATCATGACTCCCTGCTGCTCCTGTACTCCAGGCCTTCCCCAACCTGTTACCAGGCTTTCTGGAACCTTCCAGCAGCAACTCCTACAAGCAGCTGTGGGTGTGATTTCCCTGTTCCCTTTTTCTTTTTAGCACAAATGATAGCATGCTACACTGACTGGCCTGCTCCTTGCTTTTTGTAGATAGATAATCCAGAAGGTTGGAAGAGGAATTACAATGGACGCCCCATGTATGTGTACAGAGCCCAGGTTAAGAAACAGAACCTAACGACCTTCCTCCCTTCATACATAACCACCTTTCTGGACTTGTTGCTTATCATCCACATATTGGTCTTCATAGAATAGTGTTGTTTGCATATC